AGCGTCAGCTGCGGACTGAAAGGTCCCAGGTTCGATTCTGGTCAAGGGCACGTACCTTGGTTGCGGGCACATCCGCAGTGGGGAGGGGGTGTGCAAGAGGCAGCTCTCATCGATGTTTCTAGCTCTCTGTCCCTCTCTCTTCCTCTCTGTAAAAAATCAATAACATATTTTTTAAAAAAAAGAAAAGAAATGCGGTGAGCGCATCTGTGCCCGGCAGGTGGCGCCAGAGACCCAGGCCCCCGGCCCTCCGCGCGCGTCGGCCGCGGCGCTCAGTCGCGCAGGCGCTCTTCCTTCCGCCGGGGCGGCCCCACCGGCTCGGCTCCCCGCACCCCGTGCGCCCTGGGCGCCTCTCGGGCTCCGATCCGCCCGGTGCACCGCGCCGCCGCCGAGCGCACCATGGCGCTTCCCCGCGCCCGGGCCGGGGCCGGGGCCTGGGCGGCGGCGGCCAAAGCGGCCCAGAGGCGCCGCCGCGCGGAGGGCGCGGGCGGATCGCCGAGCCCCGCGGCCCGGAGCCAGCGCGCGGCGCTGTACGTCCACGTGAGTGGGGCGGCGGCGGGGGAGCGGGGCTCCACGGGGGGACATGTCACTCGTGAGCCCACCCGCCGGCTTTCCCTGCTCCCGGGCGGGGTCTTGGCAGGGCCCCGGGCCCTGGCAGGGACATGGGACCCGAAGGCTCTGTGCGCACCAGCGAGGCGACCTCTGACCCAGTGGCTTCCCTTCTGAGCCCCAGTTTTGTCTTATGGCAGCGTTTCCCACACTTTCTCTCATGATGAGAGTCACCTGGTGGAGTTGTTCAACGACAGATTCCTGAAGCCCAACTAAGAAGTGCTAAACTAGAATTTTGGGGAACATATAGATAAAATTGTATACTTAACTAAGCTTAGAGTACCTAGAATCGGTAGTTTTAACAACTCCACCAGGTGATTCTCATCATGAGAGAAGTTTGGGAAACCCTGTCTTATTGGAGCGGGCACAATCCCAGCCTTAGGGGGTTGTGTGGCTCAGAGGGCGTAACCACTGTCCACAGACCTAGAATGGGGTGGGAATGTGTGCACCTGAGCCCTGGAGGTGAGAGGCCAGGGCCGCCCCGAGTCCCCGCTCACCCCCTGCAAACACCCCTCGCCCCCAGTGGCCCTACTGCGAGAAGCGCTGCAGCTACTGCAACTTCAACAAGTACATCCCCCGGGGCGTGGACGAGGCCGCGATGCGGAGCTGCCTGGTGACAGAGACTCAGACGCTGCTGCTGCTCAGCGGGGTGCGGCGGTGGGTCCTGGGGGGCTGGAGCAGGGCTGGGAGGGAGGTGGGTAGGACGGGTGCTGCAGGCCTGCTGGAGGGCTCCCCCAGGCCTCACCTTCTTTATCTTCTTTACCCAGGGTGGAGTCCGTGTTCTTTGGTGGAGGCACCCCGAGCCTGGCCAGCCCCCACACTGTGGCTGCTGTCCTGGAGGCAGTGGCCCAGACAGCTCACCTGCCTGCAGACTCCGAAGTCACCTTGGAGGTCAACCCCACTTCTGCCCCAGCCTCCCGACTGGCAGCCTTTGGGGCAGCCGGAGTCAATAGGCTGTCCATTGGCCTCCAGGTAACCAGTCTGTCCACCCCCACCCCAGGGCACCAGCCCTGCCGTGCCGACTCTCCACTGGTCACACTCACTTATCAGGCAAACATTTCCTAATGCTGAGAGAGTCTGGCCCCAGATGCATGCATATCTGGTCTCTAATTGCAAAGAAACCTAGTAAATCAAGAGACATTTTTTGCCCTGGCTGGGTAGCTCAGTTGGTTAGTGTGTGTTGTCCTGATACACCAAGGTTGTGGGTTCGATCCCCAGTCTGGGCACATACAAGGATCAACCAGTGACTGCATAAATAAGAGGTTGATCTAACCTCTTATCAAATTTTTAGTATGCGGTATACAGTAAAAATTTGTTCACTGTTAGGACAGTGGTGAGCAGCAGATTTCTCGAATTTCTTCATTAAGTGATATTTTGGAAAAAAAAAAATAACTGGCCCATACTCTTTAAAAATGTCAATATCCTGAGAGATACGGGAAGGCTAAGGATCTAGACTACAGGCATCCAATGAAACGGTGACGGCTGAGTGCTGTGTGTGACCCCTGCTTGGCTCCTGGACATTACTGCAGTAGCCATTATTGGGACAGTGGGCCAGATCTGAATGTGACTGTGTATTAGATACTGGCTTCCTGTCAACGTTACATTTCCTGACCTCTGCAGTTGGCTTGTGGTTATGTAAGAGAGTGTCCTTGTTGTTAGGAAGTACACACTTCACTATTTAGGGGTGAAAGGGTGCAATATTTAAGTTGGTTACATTTAAGTAACCCATTTGCAAATGCTCACTAGCATGTGGCCAGTGGCTACCATCTCCCGCTAAAATGCTCTATAGCCGCACTGACTGTATGTCGGTGAACACTTGGCATGTGACCATTTAAATTCAGTTACCTTAAAATGTAAACAGCCACGTGTGTGAACGCCTGCTATATTGGACAGAGCAGGTATGGGATATTCCCGTAGGGCTAATCTGTCAGTTACTCTCCAATGGGTCAACATCGTCATCATATGCATGTATATTTATAGAGTCAAAGCAAATGTGGCAAAATGTGGTAGGTGAATCTGAATGGTGGTGGTATTCGTTGACTTTTTCCCCCCAACTTTTCTATAGATACGAAATATTTCAAAATCAAAAGTAAAATTAAGAAAGGCTCTTGGCTTTGGGGCCAGGCAGTCCTCTACGTTCAGGGTCTGACTGTGTGACCTTGGGCACGTTATGTAACATCTCTGAACATCAGTTTCCTCCTTTGTAAATTTGGAGTGAACGTTGGAGGGTTATAAGGATGAATTAGATGTCACATAGAAAAGCTTGGCCCGTAGTGCGTGACCCTTCAGTGAATGGTATGCCCTCGGTATTGGGTCTGGCCCGTCCCAGGCATTAGGGGTGAGTTGATGACATATTTGACCAAATATACCAGGCTAATTTTTAAAAAGATATATTTTATTGATTTTTTTTTACAGAGAGGAAGGGAGAGGGATAGAGAGTTAGAAACATCGATGAGAGAGAAACATCAATCAGCTGCCTCCTGCACACCCCTTACTGGAGATGTGCCTGCAACCAAGGTACATGCTCTTGACCAGAATCGAACCTGGAACCCTTTAGTCTGAAGGCCAACCCTCTATCCACTGAGCCAACCCACTTAGGGCAAGCAAGCTGACTTTTAAGTTGATCATTTTTGCTTGGCCCGGGAATGATGTTGTAAATATCCGAATGGCCCTTGGCAGAAGAAATGATGTTATAAATATCCAGATGGGCCTGATCTACCTACAGTAGGGTGGGCCACGTGGTTTTGTGTCTCCCTGAGCCGGCCTGTGTGCTGACGGCGCCTGCCTCTCTCCCCAGTCCCTGGATGACGCCGAGCTGCAGCTGCTGGGGCGGACGCACTCGGCCAACGATGCTCTGCGGACGCTGGCAGAGGCCCGGGGCCTGTTCCCCGGGCGCGTGTCAGTGGACCTGATGCTGGGGCTGCCCGCCCAGCAGGTGGGGCCCTGGCTCCGGCGGCTGGGGGACCTGCTGCGCCGCTGTGACGACCACGTCTCCCTCTACCAGCTGTCCCTGGAGCGCGGCACCGCCCTCTTCGCCCGGGTGCAGCGGGGCGCGCTTCCTGCCCCGGACCCCGAGCTGGCCGCCGAGATGTACCAGGAGGGGCGGGCAGCCCTTCGGGAGGCGGGCTTCCGCCAGTACGAGGTCTCCAACTTTGCTCGGAATGTAAGTCCTGGGGCTGACGGCCGAAGGTGGGCAGTGGGCAGGCTGAGGCGGGCCCTGGGCGAGGGACCCTGCGGGGTCTCAGCGGGGTCCTCGAGGCCTGAGGTGGGGGGACATTTTATTTTATTTTATATTTTATTTTTAAAAAAATATATTTTATTGATTTCTTACAGAGAGGAAGAGAGAGGGATAGAGAGTTAGAAACACCGGTGAGAGAGAATCATCAATCAGCTGCTTCCTGCGCACCCACCACTGGGGATGTGCCCGCAGCCAAGATACATGCCCTTGACCGGAATCGAACCCGGGACCCTTGAGTCCGCAGGCCGATGCTCTATCCACTGAGCCAACCCGGTTTCAGCGTGGGGAGGGGGCGGGCGGGGGGACACTTTAACCGGGTTCCCCTTACCTGAGCAGCAACAGGGCTGCCAGCTTCGCTCGGCCCTGACGACCCTCTCCCTCCCCACAGGGGGCGCTGAGCACCCACAATTGGACTTACTGGCAGTGCGGCCAGTACATTGGCGTTGGGCCCGGTGAGTGAGTGCCCTGTGAACCACAGGAGGGGGACAAGGGAGTGGATGTCACGGCTGTGTGATCCTGGGCCACTTATTAACCTCTGTTTGCTCCTATGTACACACGGCAAGAGAGGGATGTCGTTGAGTGTGTGTTTTGAGGCGCTTGGTAACGCCTGGCACGGGGGTCCTCAGCCTTCAGCACGTGCCGGAATTACCGGGAAGGCCTGTTAAAGCCCGGGTGGCCGGGCCCCCCTCCAGGATGTCTGCTTGCACAGGGCGGGAGTGAGGTCTGCAAGTGTAGGTTTCTAGCATCGTCGATGCTGTGGGTCCGGGGATCACGCTTTGAGAACCAGCGGGTGTTAAAGCGGGTGTGGTTGTTGATGTTGTCAGGGGCCCACGGGCGATTCGTGCCCCAGGGGGCTGGCGGCCTTGCCCGGGAGGCTCGGATCCAGACCCTTGAGCCTGACAACTGGATGAAGGAGGTGAAGCTGTTCGGCCACGGCACCCGGAAGCGCTCCTCCCTGGGCGAGCTGGAGCTGTGAGCACCTGGGGGCACTGGGCGCTCCCCCTGGGTCCCCCTGCGGCCCCAGAACCACCTCCAGGGGCACCTCCTTACCTCTTCCCTGGTCCCGTCCTGCATGGTCCTCCTCAGCCCCCCATACACACATCCCAGCGCGGGGCTGGAAGGCGGGGGGAAGCACAGGTCTCCTCTCCAATAGCCTGGATGGGTTTCCTTTCAGGCTGGAGGAAGTGTTGGCCATGGGGCTGCGCACAGACGTAGGGATCACTCACCAGGTAAGGGGTCCAGGGGCTCTGGCACACTGCTTCCTCCTAAGCCACGCATGGTCATTTCACACACACACACACACACACACACACACACACACACACCCCTCCGTCCCTCTGGCAGCTGGAGGTGGGGCTTGAGTCCAGCTGAGGCCTGATGGGCAGTGTGGTGCAATGGTGAGGGTTCTGGACTAGGGCTGCAGAGACCCAGGCTCGAGTCCCCTTCTACTGCGCCCTTGAGCACACATCCTCTCACCTCTCTGAACGTCCCTTTTCTCAGCTGCGTGGTGGGACAGACTAGAATATGAAGGGTTTCGGATGTTGTAATTAGCAGGGAGAGCTCAGACAGGAAGTGCAGTCAATGCTCAGTGCAGCTCAAGCTTCCCTGGATGAAGTCAGGACTATAAAGCCCTGGCCATATCCTGAGCAGCAGGGGTAGGGGGTGAGGGGGTGGATCGAGGGAGACCTGGCTTTCGGCCTAAACATGGAGGAGTGGAGGTGCCCGCGTCCCTGCTGGCCCGAAGGCCTGGGCCTGGTGTGCATGAGAGTCAGCTGGCTGAGATCCCGGGGCCGGACTGAACCCTCCCTCGCCCCTCCCCACGCCCCCAGACACACGGCCCAGCGTAACCCCACCCCCTGCCCCTTCTGCTCCCCCAGCACTGGCAGCAGTTTGAGCCCCAGCTGACCCTGGGGGACGTGTTTGGAGCCAGCGAGGCTGTGCACGCGCTGCTGGAGCAGGGCTTGCTGCTGCTGGATCACAGGTGTGCCGGCGGCGGGAGGGTGGTCAGACGTGGTGGGAAGCCCTGACTTCCGATTACACACCCGGGGAAAGGGAGAACCGCTGGTGAGGAAGGGCCTGTGGGTGCCCTGGGCCCTGGTAGACGGTGGGCGTTGAAACTGGGAGAGGAGGCAGCTGCCACATCCGGGCCTCTCGGTGTTCTAGGGGTCTCCGGTGTTCCTGGGAAGGGCTGGCCGTGCTGGACTCTCTGCTGCTGACCCTTCTACCACGACTCCAAGAGGCCTGGCAGCAGAAAGCCCCCGCCCCTGTGCCAGGAGGGTGACGGATGTCCAAGCCCGGGTGGGCTTGGGGCTGGCCTGACACTACAGACATCTCAGCTCTCCTCTTGGCCCAGCCCTGGCGTCCCCAGGGGACCGCCTACAGTGAGGTGGACGGGAGGACCACTGTCGGAGGTCTGGGAACTGGCATCGAGGGTGCCCACCGCTGCCAGGGCAGAGTCGTGGTGTCTGCGAGTGCCTCTCACTGGTGGTCTCTCAAGCAGCTCCTGGCTGGCAAGAGCTTCTGAGGGATCCGGCTCTCAGACTCCCAGCCCCTACAATACAGGACGGGACCCCCGAGAAGGGGCTGAGCGATGCTGGCCGACCCCTGTGTGCATCCCGCACAGGACCTGCCTGCCGGACTCAGAACAGTGAGCAAGATCAGAGCGAGCCCTGCCCCTTCTCCTTTGGCAACCAGGATGTGTTTGGGGTGTCAGGAGCCTCACAGGCCTTCCTGAGCTTCCTCCCCAGTTCCCTCTCCCTGCAGCCTTTCCCTGAAGAGAGTGAAGGGGGAGCCCTAACCCATTTGGCTCAGTGGATAGAGCGTCAGCCTGAAAACTCAAGGGTCCCAGGTTCAATTCCGGTCAAGGACTTGTACCTTGGTTGTGGGCACATCCCCAGGGGAGGGTGTGCAGGAGGCAGCTGATCAATGTTTCTCTCTCATCTATGTTTCTAACTCTCCCTCTTCCTTCCTCTCTGTAAAAAAATCAATAAAATATATATATTTTAAAAAAGAGTGATGCTGAAACTGGTTTGGCTCAATGGATATAGAGCATCAGGCCTGTGGACTGAAAGGTCCCGGGTTCGATTCCGATCAAGGGCATGTACCTTGGTTGTGCGTATATCCCCAGTAGGGGGTGTGCAAAAGGCAGTTGATCAATGATTCTCATCGATGTTTCTAACTCTATCCCTCTCTCTTCCTCTCTGTAAAAAAAAAAAAAAAAATCAATAAAATATATATATATATTTTTAAAAGAGTGAAGGGGGGAAGAAGGGGTGGGGCAAGCAGGGAAGAGGGAGGGAAGGAGGATTCAGAAAAGACCCAGAGCCTGCTGATCCTCCCTGGCCCTTCACTTGCAGAAATGGCCGCCTGGTGCGTCTGTAAGTGGCTTAACAAGACCCGCTGGAGCCCGTCTTGACTGTGGTCCTCTCCTCTGCCTGGGCTCCTTTGTGGGGTGTGGGATTCTGACTTGGGGGCTAGAGACTTCGTCTAGGCTGAGATTTCTTCCTGTTCGCCGGCCGTGGTTCACCCGGTGATGTCAGCGTCCATCCGTGATCCTTGCCCACATCAATCCGCCGTTAGACTGAGGGTTGCAGAGCGTTAGTTTCTGACCGTCATCCCCTCTACGTTCACTGACGGGCACTCAGCCACCTCCAAAGAGCTCTCCCCTTTTGGAGGGCTGACCCTCAGCCCCTGGAGAGATTGGATGCAGGGTGTGTGTGCGTGTGAGAGAGACAGGCGTTCTCCTGCGACAAGGCTTCCTACCTCTTCCTCGCAGAGGGTCGCTGTGACGCCCCGAGGAATTCAGTCCTGGTGACTCAGGGCGAGCACGTGCGTTTCCCGTGTGCCCGGTGGGTGTGAATATCAGTCCTCCTGTGAACCTGCGGTAAGTGTTACGACGTCTCATTTGTTCATGAAATATTCAGCAGGCACGGCGGGTGTGCCAGGCACTGTGCCGGGCACGCAGAGAGGAATAAGACCTGTCCCCGCCTCGCGGACAGACGCGGGCAGAGATACATGTCAGGGCGGTCGGTGAGGGCGTGCGGGTGGGCTGCGGGAGCCTGCCATGCGTCTGGCTCGGAGGGGCTGGAGGCAGGAAGGGGGAATCCCTCTTTCTTACTCCTCCTCTGGCCCTGGGAAGGAAGGCTGGTGGGGTGACAGCCTCCTCCCGAGCCTTCCCCTGATCTTGATATTCAAGAAGTGAGCATGGGGCCGGAGCAGGTGCACCATCAGATAACCTGGGCCCGCTCAGGTTTCCCCCAGCGGCCCGGCCACCTGAGCCGCCCAGGCCCTCCCTGCCACTGGGCCTGGACAGGAGCCAGGGCCAGGAGGGGGTGGCACGGGTCAGCTGCTATGACTCACTCCGGTCCCACCCTCCCTCCGCAGGTGAATCAGAACCTCCCGGAGGTGGAGCCCAGGAATCCAGTCTTTAAATGCTTCCTGCGTGGCTCCAGCGATCAGGCCCGTGTGGGGAGCCTGCCATCTGCCTCCCGTCCTCAGAGGCAGGGCTCAGGAGGGACGTGGGGGACACGGCTACTTCCCCCTGCATCCAGGCCTGCCAGGCCTCGTTCCTCAAAGGGGTCCTCCCTCCACAGGGAGACTTATATTGTCATTTTTACCTGCTCCCCTTCCCCCCCCCCCTCAGCCCCCCAAAAGCACATGAACACAATGAGGAAGTGAACGAGCTGTTTTGGTGAGAGGGCACGGGGAGATGGCATGTGTGTCAGGGTGTTGGTTACAACTCGGAGGAGCAAACCTTCCTCGTACAAGAGCACTCACCGTCTTAGAGATTGAACCGCCCTCCACCCTTCCCCGACCAAGTAATGTGCATACACAGGGCAGCTATTATAGTTGCCATTTTATATCCAAAGAGGCTCTCTAACTTGACCCAGGTCATCTCAGTAGGAAGCAGCAGAGCTGGCATAACCCTTCTGGGGATCCAGAACTTGTGTTACACCATTACCTTATACTTAGCTGTGGGTCTGGGTCGACTGACCTGTCTCTTTAAATTAGGCAAAATCCTGACCTTTCTGCCCCTGAAGAGGCTTGAACAGTGATAACCCACAACATGTCCCATCTCCATGTGACCATCCACTTCCTGGGACAGAACTCTATTTTTGCAAAGAAAGGGGCTTCAATAATAACAGTTGCTGTAGACTGAATGTCTGTGCCCCCAGAATTCATATGTGGAGACCTCCTCCCTGAGCTGATGTGGATTGGGAGGTGGAGCTTTGGCAGGTGGTTAGGTCATGAGGATGGAGCCCTCGTGAATGAGGTTAGTGCCCTTTAGGAAACAAGACCCCAGAGAGCTCCCTAACCTCACATGACGACATGCAGAGAAGGCACCGAGAGTGCTGGTGCCTTGCTCTTGAACTTCCCAGCCTTTAAAACTGTGAGAAATAGCCGGGACCAGTTTGGCTCAGTGGATAGAGCGTCGGCCTACGGACTGAAAGGTCCCGGGTTCGATTCCGGGCAAGGGCATGTACCTTGGTTGCGGGCACATCCCCAGTAGGGGGTGTGCAAGAGGCAGCTGATTGATGATTCTCTCTCATCGATGTTTCTAACTCTCTATCCGTCTCTCTTCCACTCTGTGAAAAATCAATAAAATATATATGTATAAAAAAAAAAAAACTGTGAGAAATAAATGTCTGTTGTTGAAGCCACCCAGTCGATGGCATTTTTGTCATAGCAGCCCAAATGAACTAAGACAAGGATGAATAATGTTAGTAGATTGTATTATTGATATTATTCAAACGTTTGTCATCCTTCCTCAGGTGTCCCTTCCTGAGGGGGATCATCTCTCCCTGCCCTGATGAACCTGAGAAGGACCCAGAGACTTGCCTGCCCTGACTGTAAGAGCCAGTAGGTGGTCCACCTTCTCTCTCTGCCACAGAGACCTGCCGTGTTCAGACGGAGATTGTGTCCTCAGCCTGGGTCCTCGAGTTAAGACGTTGGGCAGAGGAGCAGTGGACCTTGGAGACTTGAGCAGGGATGAGAAATTCCAATTCACTGTTGTAAGCCAGTGGATTTTTTGGGGGTTTATTACAGAAGCATAACTGAGACTACACTGACTGATACAATTTGTAATCCCACCATTCAAAGATTAATCACTGTTAAAATCGTGGTGTATATATTAGCAAAAACTCTTACATGCAAATGAACATATTTGTTCATTTTGTAAGATGTACAGTCTTACAAAAATGAGATAATATGCATCTTTCTTTGGACCCTTTTTTATTTTTTTAATTTAATTTTATCGTTTAAAGTATTACAAATAGTAGTACATATGTCTCCTCTTTTCCCCACTGACCTCCCCCTCAACCTCTCCTACCCCCATCTCCCATACATGCCCTCCCCCCTCCCCCAGCGTCTGTGTCCATTGGTTTGCTTATATGCATGCAGACAAGCCCTTCGGTTGATCCCCACTCTCCCCTGCCTTCCTGCTGTAGTTTGACAGTCTGTTCGATGCTTCTTTGCCTCTGAATCTCTTTCCTTTGGAGCCTTCTTGTTCTAGCTAATATGTGGTGGGCACCTGTACATGTCAAGTTTATATCTACATCCTATTTTTTAAAAATATATATTATTGATTTTTTACAGAGAGGAGGAGAGAGGGATAGAGAGCTAGAAACGTCGATGAGAGAGAAACATCGACCAGCTGCCTCTTGCACACCCCCTACCGGAGATGTGCCCGCAACCAATGCACATGCCCTTGACTGGAATCGAACCCGGGACCTTTCAGTCTGCAGACCGACACTCTACCACTGAGCCAAACCGGTTTCGGCTACATCCTATTTTTTGAGTATAGCTTCATCAGAAACCACCGCATGGTTGTGCCAGGATTTAGTTTACCATTTTTTTTATTTTTTTTTTGATGAAGGGTTTAATTTTTATTTTTACAAACTCTATGATGAACATCTTATGTAAATATTTGTTTGCACTGGCTTGATCATTTCCTTAGGTTTAGGATAAATCCCAAGAAGTGTGGTTGCTGACTGAGGATATGCACATTCTTTGTTTGGATACATGATACCAGGAAGCCTTCATACTGCACGCTCTTGCCAGCTTGCTAGTGTTCTCACTCCTCTATAATTTTGTCAATAACAAACATGATGCATTTTTCCAAAGGATTTCAGTCTGAAGAGCACTCTTTTATTAAAAAAATATATTGCTTCATTGATTTCAGAGAGGAAGGGAGAGGGAGAGTTAGGAACATCAATGATGAGCGAGTCATTGATTGGCTGCCTCCTGTGCGCCCTCCACTGGGGATCGAGCACGCAACCTCAGCATGTGCCCTTGACCAGAATTGAACCCAGGACCCTTCAGTCTGCAGACTGACACTCTATCCACTGAGCCAAAACAGCTAGGGCTGAAGAACACGCGTAATCCTAGCTTTAGGATCAGCTAACATACTGCCTTCCGGAACAGCAATTATTTTGTCCATCTAATCATTCAAGTCAGAGAGTAAAGAGGATGCAAACTCTGGGGCTACCCAGGTAGACCAAAATGGACATGTTTGCCGTGCGTTGCCTCTTGAATTTCTTTTATCCACACCCACCCAGATCTCCCTCTCCCCCTTCTTTTCCCTACTGGGATTTAAAAAAAAAAAATTATATATATATATATATATTGATTTCAAAGAGGAAAGGAGAGGGAGAGAATCATTGATTGGCTGCCTCCTGCGCACCCCACACTGGGGACCAAGCCTGCAACCCAGCCATGTGCCCTTGACCGGGAACCGAACCTCCTGGGCCTTAGGTCATTGCTCAACACTGAGCCATGCTGGCAGGGCCCTGCTCGGATTTTTAAAGCCAAATTTTAAAATTATACAAACAACATTATAGAAACATTAGAATTCTAAATGAGAAAAAAACATCACCCACAATCAATGGCCCCAACAAAATTAAACTGTTTATGTTTGCCTGCATTCCCCTCCAGTCCCCGTCCAAATGCATGCAGGCTCTGTGCCCAGGACGCTCCTGGCACAGACCTCATCCTGCATTCTGCCTTTCCTGCCCCTCCTCCTTCCATAAGCATTTCTCTGTGTTGTTACACGGCCATCATCTTTTCAGTTAAATTGTTGCACAGTGTTCCAGTGACTGAATAATTTAATAATTATGACCCTAATGTAAGTCACTTAAGCAGCTCCCCATTTTCCTCTCTTATAAACAATGCTGCCCTGCATGCTTTGATGGAGAGCGTGTCTTTCTTCATTTGAGTTATTTCTTCAGGCCTGTTCCCGAGAGTGAGATAGCTAGGCCAAAGGGCATGAATGCTTTAGTAATTCTTGATGTGAACACTAACATTGCTTAATGAAGGTTTTTATTTTTTTATTTTCCTGCTCCAAAATAATAATACTTTTTTTTTTCCCTTTTCAACCATCTATTGTAGAAGAAAGAAAAATGTTACTACCCAGACATTACCATTGCTACTACATTTGGATAACCCTCCCTCCAGAAACCTCTCGGTGCATAGATATACATGTAAATGTAAAAATAAAAATAACTTTCCACAAAAGATACCGTAGTCATGTACCAGCTTACAACCTGGTGTTTTGGGTATTTTTTCCCCCAGCAACACATCCTGGGCTTTTCTCATTGGTTCTGCTACCGCCAGTGCCCATGCGGTAGCATAATGTGTTACATACGGCAATAGCTGTGAGCCAGGCATGTGCCCAGAAGGTTATCTGCATGAGTTCATGGAAGCTCCGCAGCAGCCGGTGAGAGAAGTTCTATTATTGTCATGCCCACTTTTGCAGATGAGGAAACCGGCTCAGAGAAATTAATGGACCACTCAAGGTCACATGGCTAGGAAGTGGTGGGGCTAGCTCTCAACTTGAGTTCTCTGGGGCGCCAAAACAGATGCTCCTACACATCGTACACAAATGCATTCTTATTGTAAAAAAAAAACAAACAAAAACCAAAACCACTAAAGATAATACATGTAAACAATACCACAGCATAGAAAAGAAAACCCCTTTACACACTCCCAGAGGTTTGATGTGTGTATCAGTTAAGGTTTAACTGAATATGACAAAATCAGAGTCGCGTAAGCGTAAACAAGTCAATACAGTTCTTT